GGATGGAGGCAGCTGAGCTTAGGGAGCAAGCTTACCTGTTGGTCTGACTCAGAACACAGCAGCAGTGCCTCTGCCCTGCCTTCCAGCCCTCTCCTGCCCTCTGACTGCTCAGCTTTAGGAACCAGGGCCCTGCCAGCAGGCCTCAGCCCTATTCAACTTGAGGTTGTCTGGGACCATGGGCAGTTCTGCCAGCCAGGGCCTTCTGTGTGTCTCTGTAGGCCTTAGTGAGTGGGGAGCTCCCAACCCTGACCTGGTGCAGCCTTCATTTATGACTCCTTTCATTTACTCCACACCTGTGTATGGAGGTCTCCTATGTGCAGAGCATGGGCAAAAGAAATGGAAAAGAGAAAGAGAACAACAAGGTCTTGCTCATGGAGGTTGCAGTGCAGTGTGGAGGCAGTCAGTAAACAAGCATAGAAACGTTAAGTGGTGGTGAGTGCTATGAAGAAAGACTGAAACAAGGCACTTAGGTAGACAGCAATGGTGTGGGGGCGCTCTTTTATTGGGTGATAAGGTGACATTCCAGCAGGAGCATGAAGGAAACAAGGAAGAGGGATGCGTGGGTGTCTGGGGAAGATCTTTGAGGTGAGAGGAGTTGGCAAGAACAAAGGCCTTGAGGCAGGAATGTCTGGCATGTCTAGGGAACCAGAAACACGAAGGCCATATGATTGAAGGGGGCTGAGGGATGGCTGCAGTAGGCAACCATAGCAGGTAACGTCAGAGGAATGACAGAGGCTAGATGGCGGGCTCTGTCAGTCATGGTGAGGACCTCAGCTTTTTGGGTTTTGTTTGTTGTTTGAGTTTTTGGTTTGGCGTGAGTTTTTATGGGACAGGATCTCGTTGTGGAGCCCAGGCTGGCTGAAAATTCTCGATCCTCTGCCTCCTCAGGACTTGGGTCACATAGGCATGGCCACCACACAGGGCAGGACTTAAGCTTAGACAGAGTAAGGTGAGAGGCCGAGGCCAGCGGAGAGTCAGGGGTAAACGCAGTACCACGCTGTCCTCAGTGGAGAGCAGACTGCAGGGGGTGGTGACAGTCCAAGCCTGCTGGAGGCTGTGGACAGGTGGGGCAGAGGTATGGGGAAGGACCAGCGCAGGCCTGCTTGGAAAGCAAAGTCCACTGCCGCTTCTGGTGGTGGTGTGGTGGGAACTTATTTTACCTGAATTTCTGGAAACTTGGAGCCCCCATATTTCCTGGCAAGGTCTGAAGAAGCTTTAGGTATCCGAGGAGGTGGTAGGAGTGAGGGCACCTCAAATGTGGCTCCACCTTCCCGGGACTCAGCTTCTGCTCATTGGTCACTTCTGCCAAGACAGACTTCTGTGCTCAGAGCCCCCAGCCCTGGCCCTGAAGGCTGCCCCTCTGGTCTCCACCTGAGCAGGAGGCAGGTCCTCCACAGAAAACCTGGGAGTTGTCCTCCTGCCACCTCTCCCTTGTCCTATCTGTCATAACAAAAATGTCTTGATCTCTTAAGTGCCTTCCTTTATCATTTCCGTCCTTTGTGATTTCCCTCCATACATTTTCCATACTGTGTAGGCAAAGTAATCTTTTAAAAATGCAAGCTAACCAGGTATGGCCGTGCACACCTGAGGCAGAGACAGGAGGATGGTGAGTTACAGGCCAACCTGGGTTACATTTTCTGTCTTAGAAAACCAACAAAAATGAATAAAGAATTTCCCTATTCTTAGGAAATACCCACTGATGTCTTGCATGGTAGCCTAGGCCTTGAGAGGACTATGAGAGTACATACAAGGTGGTGTGTGTTCACTGTCACATGGACACGAGCAAGTGTTGGACAGGAGAGCTGTTGACAGTCTCTCAAAGTCGGCCAAGAAATAAACAATAGAAAGGAAGCCTGTTTTTCCCATTCTCAGGTAGGCAAAGCAATCCACTCTTCTGATCCGGTCTAATGTTCTCAGTGACCCCCAGTGCAGTGTTGGCTTGCTGGTGCCACGCCACACTGTCCCGTCTTTATCTGCTGCACAATTTCCTGTCTAGGCCCTTGAAATCTTGATTTGCAGTTATTTGCCTTTCTGCTCTTCACATGCCCCCGTAAGGTGTTTGTTATCATTTCAGTCCTGAGAACACAGCTCCGATGAAAGGGACATGCTGTGAACACAGCTGCCTGGCTCAGCTCGCGCTCTGAGGTGGGTGTGGGCTGTGCTCTGGCAGGAATGCTCTCACTGGGGCCAGACAAGTCTGGAATCTCAGTGCAGTGCCTCACCAGGTGTGACAGTGTCATGAGGTCCTATGGGCTATTATGAGTTCTCAGAGCCCTGTGTTGGGCAGTAAGGGTGCAGCAGGAGGTACAGCACAGTCCCTGTGTTTGGGTTTAGAAATGAAGGCACAAATGTGATTGGCAAAGATTAAAAAATCTGACAATGACAGGTGTTGGAGATGACATGCAGTGATTGGGTGTCTTTTGCCCTGATGATAAAAGTTTATTTATTTGTCTAGCAAAATCGAACACTCACTCCCCATGACCCTGCAATCCTGTGGCAGGGCCTGTCCTTGCACAAGCCATCAGACAGGATGCTGTGTGGTAGGCAGCACATTAGCAGGCCCTCACTCCATGTGTGTGGCTTCTCAGTGTCAAAACGACTGTGGCACTCCTTTCAAAAAGCCACACATATGATAAAAGTATCAGCCAGGCATGTGTACTACACAGTCACACACGTGTGCATGTGCAGAAAGAAAAGAAACGCTACACACCAAATCCACTTGGGCCTTTTGCGCCTGGACAGGCAGCTGGGCTCTGTGGGAGGAACACACAGCCAGGGTCAGGGACTTGCTGATGTTGGGGTTCTGGGGTGGGTGGTGGGTACATGGTGTTTGTTACATTGCTATTCAAGTCTGCTATGCACAGAGGCTGGGAATGCCCTGTAAAGCAGTGGCAACTGAACATCAGGTTCAGAGTACCTACTTGCCCTTCCCAGAGGTGTCCTGGGAACTGGGGTTAGGCATAGCTATGAATTTGCCAAGAGGAAGAAACCCCAGGGAGGAGGGGGCTCTTGTGCAAAGCACAGAGACAATGAGAGCCACACTGTGTGTAAGGCACTTATTCAAGAGTTCCTTGTGGCTTAAAGGGGTGGTGAACACATGGGATAGAGAAGGCCTTCTGCAGAGTCCCTTGCAAGTACAGAGGGGGTACTGGGAATGCAGCAGCCCCTACCTGTCTAAAGGTGGTCCTCACAGAACGTCAGTTGACCAAAGGGTCTTCCCGTTCCCAAGAGCTGTGACCAAAAGGTGTGAAAATCATGAGGTAGAAGATGGAGCCCAGGTGGAAGTGGGCTCATCAGGTACCAGAGCTTCCCCTAGGAGAGGACCAGGGAGGGCAGGTAGTCTGCAGGGCAGAGCCACCGGCCTATCTTACATGATGCCTTCTTATAAGGCAATATGCTGTGCTCCTCAGCAGCACATTCCTAAGAGTCTCCTTTGCCCGTTGCTGCACAGACCATCTCAGAGTGTCTTATGTTTTATTTTGATTGACCTTGGCTGTGACTTTTGACACCATGCTTCTCACTTTCTTTGCCCCTGACCTTGGGCTGGGTGGTTAATGATCTCTAAACAAACACTTGAGTGTGATCACAGAAGTGTGGTGAGCACCAGGAGAAAAGACTTGTGTGGCACCTCCAAGGCTGGGATGCTTGGGACCAAAAGGTCCAGTTCTCTCCAGTTCACATTTTTGATGGGAGATTTTCTGGAATGTGACACACGTTCTCTTCTTCACTAAACAGAACCTGTAACAGTGCATTTCACCTCAACTCAGAGATGAGCACAGAACGGATGGCGTTTGGCTCAGGCATATTTGCTGTGGACTTTTCCGGGTCTGTTCCTGATTTGCAAATGGTGAAGCAGAACACTGCCTGCTCTGCCTGCCTGAGTTGTAGTCGGTGTTGCCTTTCAGAAGCTGAGATAAGATCAGGTTACCCTTTGCTTAAGCTCCTGGGTGACTTCCGGGCGGCCCAGCATGGTCCACACGGAGCCCAGGCCTTGACCCCCCCCCCCACACGCAGGCAGCCCTCCTGCCTCTTTGTTTATTTCTCAACCTCACTAGAGTCTTCCCTCTCCAGGCCTTGCCCTTCCTGGTGCCTTCACTTTGAACTATCTTGTTCCAATCTTTACACACTGGCTACTTCTTGTGCCCAGGTCTCAGCTCAGAAATGGCCTCTGCGAGATGCTGCCCACTGATGCCACAGCCAGAGCCCACCCACCCCAGGCCCTCACTGCCACCCACCCTGTCATGTTTGCTATGTGTATGTATATACATGGTGTGTGCTGTGTGTGTGTTACAGAATTAGGTTGTTACACATATAGACCCATAATTTTATGTATTACCTTTGCTTACACAAATTAATATATGTAATTTTCCTATAGAGATCATCTTGTGTTTCTTGATACTAAACTCAAATGGCTTGCTCTCTTCCTTCCCCTGGAACAGAACCTGGGATGCAGTAGGCACTCAGACTGTGTGGAGAGACTGGAGAAGGGTGCTGCCCCAGGGAAGGCCTGGCTATCAGGGAGGTGATAGGTACAGACTAGGTCATGGCAGAACTGCAGGCCCTATGATTTTAAGGGGTGGACAGGGTGCCCAGGAGCCAGGGGGTAAGTTCTGCCCCTGGGTCTGTGCAGACTGCAGAGCTGTGATGCCTGACTTAGGCTTTAAAGGGCAGGCGGGCAGGTGCTGAGTGGGGAGTCTGAGGCTGGGCTGCAAGCCTATATGGTAGGCTAGAAAGTGCCAGAATGGCTGGTGAAAAGGGAGAAAGAAGCAGGAGGGACTGGTGCGTGGGTGGAACAGGGACCAGAGAGAGAACAGGTTGCTAAGGTGACTGCTGCTTCCCTCCTGGGACAGGCCTGAGACTTGGGGAGTGAGCCTGGCTCTTCCTCACCTGGATGCTGCTGGCTCTGCCCAAGTAGAGTCTGGCTGAGCCCCAGCCTCCCGTTGGCTAGTCTGTCTGTGTCTTCACAAGGACCAGGGCCAGGTGGGTGCTAGTGAGCACAGGGAGGGCATTTCCCCAGCCTGACCTTGAAGCTTGCTGGTCTCAAGTGTTCTCCCTCTTCTCCTGAGCAGGTGGTGAAGAAGGTGAAGTCCATGCAGATGTTCCACACGCCTGTCACCTCAGCCATGCAGGGAGATCGGCTGGGCATCTGTGTCACCCAGTTTGACCCCAAGCTGCTAGAGCGTGGGCTAGTATGTGCACCTGACACCCTGTACACTGTGCATGCGGCCATCATCTCCGTGGAGAAGATCCCATACTTCCGGGGGCCCCTGCAGACCAAGTCCAAATTCCACATCACAGTGGGCCACGATACAGTTATGGGCCGCTTGCTTTTCTTCAGCCCTGCCTCTGACAGCTTTGACCAGGAGCCTCTTCTGGACTCCTTCGACTTCTCCCAAGAATACCTCTTCCAGGAGCAGTACCTATGCAAGGACATGGCACCAGCAATAACAGACAGTGACAAGACCCACAAAGCAGGCCAGGCCCCAGAGGGTCACTACCCTCGGCAGCAGTGGGCCCTTGTGGAGTTTGAGAAGCCTGTCACCTGCCCTCGGCTGTGCCTAGTGATTGGCTCCAGGCTGGATGCGGACATTCATACCAACACATGCCGCCTGGCCTTCCACGGCATCCTGCTCCATGGTCTGGAGGACAAGAACTACACGGAAAGCTTCTTGCCCACTCTGAAGGTGTACAAGCTGAAGCACAAGCATGGCCTCGTTGAGCGGGTAAGCACAGCCGTCCCTGGTCCTTCCTTTCCTCGTGGGGGCAGGATCCCCACTGTCCAGGCTGGTCCAGGGTGGTTCAGGCTGGGATGGCTTAGGCCAGGTGTCAGGCTGCCTGCATTCCTCCCCCAGGATGTCCCAAAGTCAGTCTCGCACCCAGGCAGGGACCCAGTTGCACCAGCCCCACCCAGCCACCCCTACCCTATGTTTACCTACATGGTGAATGCAGCCCCTCTGGATCCCTACAGCCTGTCCTCTCCCACAGCCAGTGTCAGGTCAGCATCAGGCACCCTGACCAGGCCCCAGACTTTCCTTACTGGACCCTGGGCTCTATTGGGCTAGGTAGCTGTCATGCCTACCCTAGCCATTGGTATCAGAGAGAGCATTGCCCAAGGCACAGGCCAGGCTACCTCACCTGCAGGGCAGGGGAGGGGCCAATGGCGGCAGAGATGCCAAGGAGCAAAAGAGGAAAGATGTAGGAAGTTCCACAATGGGGGTGCAGTTGCTGGCTGCCTGAGGTGCCTCAGGGTCACAATTACTGGATGCAGGTCTAGTGTGTGGCCTGTCATTGTGTTGGACATAATGTGATAGCCTTCCCTCATGGTCATTTGCCCCCAGTGGCTGTCCATGCACTTTGAGTGGGAGTCTAGGCCTGCCCAGCCTCCAACAAAGGGTGCATCCATGTCACCTGTGGCTGGCCACCTGGATACATCTCAAGTGGATCAAGACAGCCATGGCTGGTCCTGGGATGTGACAGGATGCTGAGGAATTGAGCCAGGCTTCCTTCAGGGTCTGCCTGAGGCTCTTGGCCAAGCTGTAGTTCCTCTCGGTTTGCATGATAGTGTGCCTTCTTCTGGTCTAGACAGAGCCACCAGTTCTGTGTCCAGCTGTAAGAGGATGTGCTTGGGCATGCTGGTGTCACTTATCCCAGACCCGCGCTACTCTCTGCACCTCCCTGAACCTCCCCCTCCCTAGCGTTCCACCAGAAGGCTTCCTGGTGCTCAGGTCCTGTCCCCTTCCTCTCCTGTGCCTACCCCAGGTCCAGGACTTGGGACCTGGATGGTGAGACCGTGGCCTGCTCAGGGTCACCTCAGTGCAGTCAAGATGCTGATTGCAGATGAAGGTGATAGATGAAGATGCATGTCACTTATCCATCCAGCTTGATTTATTTACAGCATTATGGAGTATAATTATTCTTCAGTAAAGTATCTATCAGAGTATGTCCCTCTGTGTGGCTCTGGGTCTCACTGTTCCCCTTAGGCTCAGCAGTGGTAGTGCAGAGGCCACCTTGGCCAGGAGACCTGTTGACCTGGGTTCTGCCTCCAATCTGGGACGCCCCAAGGCGACCAGAGGAGCCTGAGAGGCCAGCAGAACCAGAATTCCAGATCCCACATAGCTAACACGGAACAAGCACAGGTTTCTCTAGCCATGGGCAGCTTCGTGTGACTATGGTTGTGTGCAGAGGCCCTGTGAATCCAGGCTGTGGGAGCAAGGAGGAAAGGGGCATGGGCTCCCCTGACTGGGGCCAGTTTCCCTGGTCCCAGCCCCTAAGATTCTAGCCCAGGCCAGAGGCACCTGCCTGACGCCAGGGGCTGGCCTCTGTGCCATACAACAGCCTTCTGGGCCCAGGGACAGGGATCAGCTGCCTCACTCTACCCCTTCCCCACTTTATTTAAAGTACCCACTGTATGCCTCTACTAGCTGCATGTATTATTTTTAATCCTTATAATGACCTCAAGAATGAGGTAGGGTTTTATTATATATATATATATATATATATATATATATATATATACACACACAACCCTTCTACCTGTGCCTCCCAAGTTAATCAGAATTGCAGGTGTACTCCACCATGCCCACCTTGTTGGCCGAGATGGGATCTTGATAACATTTTTGCCCATGCTGGCTTGAACCACAATCCTCCCAATCATATAGAGCTAGATAGATGGGTAGATATATAGACATAGCTACCACTACAGATATTATGTGCATATTTATTTATTCTTTCTTTTTTTTTAATTTATTCTCTGCTTGGAAATTAATAGGGAGTGGTTTCTTTCCATCCTTTGATGGAAGTAGTGTTAATACTCCGACCTGCTTTTTAACAAATAGCAGGACCGAGTCAGAGCCTTCCAAGAGCAACAGCATATAACTAGGATTCAGGTTTTTGGATGTCTTTTTTTATGTACTCCTACCATTAACTTCCTGTATCTGTGGCTAGTTTTCTTGCTTCCTCTTTAGGGTGCCATGTAAAGAAAGTATTAGGTAAATGATAGTACAGATTTATAAAATCTGGCAGAAATGATGAGGTGTAATGGATATATAAGAGCTTAGGTAGGGCCACTGGGACATGTCCCCAGGAAGCCACTAGGGTTCTCAACCACATGCAGATTCCCAAAAACTGGTCCTGCTTTAGTGATCCAAGGGCCACAAAACAGTCTTCTTGGTAGCTGACAGAGACACAGGCCATGTCTGGGGTCTGGGATAAGGGACAGGGAACTCTGCCAAGGGTGTAGAAAGTGGGCTCCCAACCAGAGAGAACAGCACAAAGAGGTGGTATTCTTTGAATGGTTCCTTCAACAGCTGAAGGGCCACTGGCCAGACACTGAGGGGCAGAGGACCAGGAGAGTGGGAAAGGTGTCCCAGGGCCAAGAAGAAGTGAAGCACAGAGGCCACGCAGTGCCTGGCCCTGACTCACTGGGAAGGACAGCAGCAGCTGGGGGCAAGGGCAGGGCCAACCATCCAAGCAGGGGAGTGGCCTAGGCTGGGAGATGAGGGCAGCTCCACTTTACCTGCATGGACACATACCTAGAGCAGGGACCTGCAGAGAAGCCTCACCTTTCTCACCTACTCCACTGTGTCCCTGTCCCCAGCCTCACCCTAGCTTCCTGGTTTGGTGAGCCAGAGTTCTCTGATCTGTCAGGCACTTGCTCTGTGGAGTCGTGTTTCTCTATCCATAGCAATCATGCCTTCCTTGGAATTGTTGTGATGATCAAGAGGACAAGAGGGAGTGCCATTAAGGACTTTGGGACCAGGACAGTAAGTGCCTGGTAGGCTGAGTTTGCCTGAACATCCTGACTGTCTGTACCCTGGGACCTCATCCCCTTCCCCCACCACACCTTTTCCCCCTGCTCACCACAACTCTTCCTGCCTTGGCGGCTTGCACAACACCACCCAAACCATTGTCCAAGAGAAAGTTAACCCACTACACCACCACTGAGCATGAGTGGCACTTACCATACCCTACACACTAACTGGCCGTCCTGCACACAGGCTGATGCTGGGCCCCAGGCATGGCAGATGGGGCAGGCAGATGCTGGGTGGAAGAAGGAAGAGGAGCCATGCATGGGAAGTATGGGTGCCCCACCTGTGACAGCATAGGCCTTGGTTAAGCAATGGGCTCATCATGAGTGTTTATGTTGCCTTCTTCATGGCCCCAGTGCCTGGGTCCTAGCTGGTTGGTGGCAAGATTGCCACCCCCTGCCTTGGGGGGTCAGGCCAGGTATGCTGGCTACTGTAGGTCTGTCCCCCCACTGGCGCCAGCTGAGAAGGCCTCCGGGCTGAGCTGTAGGAGCCTGCGGCCAGCCCAATCAAGTGTAAACACACAGACGCCACCAGGAGCACTGCTGGCTTTGAAGTCTGGCACAGCACTGCCTCCCGGCTCCTGGATCTGCTGCTCCACTGCTGAGGTCCTGTTAGACCTACACTGGGCTCCAGTATGCACAGTAGCCTCAGGCACAAGCGGCCTGTGACCTGCCCCTGCCCCAACAGAATTTGGGCTCTTTGCCCTCCTTCCTGAGCAGGACGGTCTGCAGGCTTGGCAGGCCCCAGGCGGGCCAGCTGCTGTACCCTCATCCCCTGCAGGAAGCCACTTGCTAGCCATTTGGCCTGTTCTGCTGCCCCTTGTTTCCCCAGGCTCCTGGCCTGCAGGCAGGAAGCTGTGTCAGCTCCAGGCCTCAGGAGAGAACAGGTCCCCAGAAGCATAGGTAAAGAAGGTCTCCCTAGGGAGAAGATTAAATGCCTGCCCTAGTGTCCTGGTCCAGCCTCTCTCCTGGCTTCCAAGGTTAGAGTCTGACAACCAGTGCCCACCTCCCTTTGAAAATTGCTTCTCTGTCCATGTATAGATGCAAGGTCAGGCAGCTTGGCATGGAGAGAGTGGACTCTGGAGCAAAGCTGGGCACAACTCACTCTCCCCAAGCCTGTTTCTTCTTTAGGAGCGGCTATGGTGGGGAATTTGTGCGGTCACATGTGAAAATGGCAGGACAGGGCCGGGATGCATTAGTTGCTCCATGAAACATTGTCTCCTTTTCTCCACACAAAGGCCACTGCCATGGAAGATATCTCTGGTACCGGGCGCTTTACATGGGTGAGGGCTGCACACAGAACTGAAGCAAAGGGAGGCTTGAGGAATGAGTGAGATGGGGAGGCCCAGTATTGTGGGAGCTTGTGGAGGGGCAGAGGCACAGGGCAGAGTCACCCCAGAGTAGGACTCCTTTGTCACACTTAGCCAGCCCACCCCAGGCCTCCAGGTCCTAGGCCTCTGGAACTGGAATGAGACAAATGAGGTTGGTTCCTTTCCTGGGTTTACACTGGGGGCTTACAGTAAAGTTGATCATTGCTCACAGGCTTTCTGCTAGAAATCTTGTCTTGTTCTCACAGCGACTTTGGGAAACAGATTGGTTTGTCTTGTTTTACAGAAGAGGATACTGAGACCTCAATAAGGCACCAGCTTGCCCAGGTACCACATGGGAGAGCCCAAGAGCCAGCCCCATCCTGTGCTCTCCTCCAGGGCCTCTGCTTTTCCACCACACCAGGCCATAGCCCTGCCCTAAGGAGGGGGAAGGACTCCAGTGACACTAGAGCATCATTGTCATCCCATTGTTCAGTCCTGGTGACTTTTTCACATGGCCTTGAAGAGGAGACACTCACTAGTAAGGGCTCATCCTTGACACAGGCAGCCTTGCTTTTCCTGTCTGCATTTGCTACTCACGTGGTCTCAG